AATCGATAAAGATTCACAATGTCAAGTGGTGCTATCCGATTTAACCAACACAGTTCATGTGAGAAATTATATTTTAAAGCTTTAATTACACCGTTATTTGAAAGTAAACGTATGAATAATTGTTATAAAATTGTTGAAAAACTACCTACAGACATAACATTTTTAAATGGATTAAGTTTTTTTTTTAGTTTTATCATTTCATAATGCTAATGTGAACTTTCACAACTTATCACACTTTCAAAACTTACTCAAATAGCCTATCTCGCAAGAAAACGAAGCAGATGTCCAGACTGGTTCATTTACAAACGATACAGATTAAGCAACTCTATGGCTCATTCTATAAAAACAAGAAAAAGCAATCTTGAAAAATTGGCTTTTAGATTCGAGGAATAATACATTCGAAGGAAACAATTGCAACTGATTATGGAATTAAATTGGAAAAAATGCAAAAACTTCAAATTTCGCTTAAAAAAATAGTAGAATAATTGATGCAGGAGTTGTCATTTGTAATGAAACTCCCTGGATTTGTGCAAGCCCTAATGGTATATGCAAACTTTATTTAAAAGAAAATAGCATTTATTATACACAAAATCCAATTAGCTTTATATGTTACAAATATTCAATTTTCTTATTTATTTATCTATAGTGATAAACAAAATGTAATTCTTAAAATGAAAAAAGGTGAGACATTCATTTGTTCACTATTTGAGAAGATGCAATCCTGTGTTATGTAAATATTTTCCACCAGGGCGGCGCGCGAGTAACTTGCACTCGGACTCCATTGTTATTTGAAATTCTTTTCTATCATAGTTAACAAACATTTAAAAACATATGTGATATCTTTTGTACTACCTAACAATACTCTAAAGTCTAAACATCTAATAATATACGAACATGCGATCAATGGTTTATATCTATAACGGTATGCCTAGAATGGCCACTAGGGGCGCCCCTAGCTATTATGTAAATTAATACACGCCCGCGAAGGTTTCTGGCATAGTACATTTATGCTACGATAGGTGGCGGGCGTGTATACGAGCATTTCATATATAAAGTTGATATGAAGAGCGCATGCTCATCAATTAGCTTTATTCGAACTCTTCGTCTTGATGTTCGAATTTTATGGTTGAATTTATATTTATGAATGATTCTGGAAGATTCAGCTTATTTTTCGAATTTAGTAAAACTGAAGAAGAACCCAGAAAGAGTTACAAAAACGTTTATTCATCACTTAGTGGTACTATGCACTGGTTACTGGTTGCAGTGAGTCTTAATTATCGTTATCCCGGTGCGGTAAGCAGATATCTAAAAATTTTCTAATTAGTCTCAGAAGAGGAGGGACATTCTTGCACTCGATAAAACAGGTAAGATCGGCTACAATCTAATAATCTTAATCTTCGCTATCAATACTTTTTTCCCGAGCAATTCCGGGCTCATCTGCTAGTTCTAAATAAAGCTAATTATAAAAATAAAACTCTTACTTTTGATCTTGTAACCGGAGTGGTTGTGTTATATGTCAGCAAACGTTTTCGATGCCCCTTCTGGCCTCTTCCTCGGGCTTTTCTATAAATACTAAGCCGGACGTTGAGAATCGAATACTTTCTTTTGAGCCGTTTATCGTTCGAATCGTCGCACGCGGCAACCTTCGAGCCGATTTAAAAAGAAAAGAGCGATGTTTTGTGTACAGCGCATGGGTGCTGTAGTACTTTCGACGTAAACTTTTAAATACTATCATCTAGCACAGGGTCAGCAACCTGCGGCTCTTTGGATGTGAAGCTGCGGTTCTTTAGTTCCATACGCAAATATTATTTATTTTATCAAAAAAAAAAAAAAAAACATTTAAAAATCGTTCTGAATCGATTAACGAGGATTAGGCACCGATTCTATCTCTCAGCCACTTGTACTCGCTTTTCATCGCACCCCTCCCCCGTGACACGCGTCGTCACTGTCGTCAGTCCGTCGGAAGCTCTCGAATGACGCCGTCGTCGGATGTTTCTATGAGGTTTAATTCGCTTTCGACGCAAGACAATTCTGAATAAATAGATTAGTTTTTTTTTTTAACAGAAACTTTATTTATGCGAGTACTATTTATTGTTGGCAAGAAAAAATTTTGTGGCTCTTTAAAAACTTTGAAATTTTGTAAATTGTAATTTTGGCTCTTCCGACTCAAAAGGTTGTTGACCCCTGATCTAGCAGGATCTGCCATGCTGTTCAAAGGGCTATCTCTTCTTTAAAATTGATTCATGTTGTGTTGTGTCCTGCTCTAAATATCGCCATAGCCTCCAGCCATTTGAGATGTTCGGGGTGGGTGGTAGTGAGGATAATATGCGCTGCGTCAAAGTCCGCCGTGATGTCCTGATCGGTCAGTGAATACGTTATTCCAACAGGATCTGAGGGTGCTAGCTATCGAGATCACCAAACTCATTAACATTCAACATAGATTGAGTTGCAACCTGAAGGAGCGTTATAACAAAAAATGCAGTCAATTTTACGTTTCCAACTTCCCGAGAAGTCTAAACCACAAAAATTTCCATTTGTGGTGTGGGATAACATTCGAGTACCAGTGTTTGCCAAAGAAATCCTGAGATTTGGACCGTCATACGCTCCTCCGCCTTCATTAAAATTGGCTACTAAAGCATATATTTCGGATCTGGAGATGCTCTTGAAAGGGCTATCTGATAAACAGAAAGAATATTATAAATGGATGGCAAGGTTTACAGTAAGAAAGACGAAAGAGTCCTATGAGGTTTATGTCCTCCACGAAAAGTTAAGGAAAACATCTAAGTGGATACGACAAAATAAGATTACATTAATCAGGACAGACAAGGACAAACTCTTAGTATTATTGAAACGCGATACCTATGAGAGGTCCATGAATGAATACATCAACATGACAGTGCATAGAAGATCAAAAGGATGTCATTGATAAGTTACAATTTAGAGAGAAACGTTTCGCCAACACAAAACTGGCCAACAAACTAAATTTGAAAAACATCATAATGGCTGCTCCTGACATTCTTAAATTGTTCGCCTTTACCAAGACCCACAAACAAGGAAAGCAATTGCGTCCAGTGGTATTGGACAAGGCCAGAGCGTCCACTCGAATATTACAGAAAGCCACACATAACATGCTCACCACACACTTAGAAGGTAATCAATACATCGTATCCAACCCGAAAGAACTAATACAACAACTTAAAGAAGTCACCTCCCCTGTGTGCGCCACAATATTGGATTTCAGATCATTATATCCATCCATCGAACTACCGCCATGTTTCTGTGCGATCAGAGACTTCCTCTTTTCTAAAGTTAATGATACAACAATGCACCAAGAAATCCTGGAGCTATCCCACTTGATATATAACAACTCGGTATTACAATTTAATGGAATCACGTACACACAACGTAAAGGTGTTCCCAAGGGAAGTCCAGTTTCTGAAAACCTATGCGTGATGGTAGTCAGACTATTAGAAAATTACACTCTTCCTCGCTTCCTACCCAATATGCTACTCTATAAACGATACATTGATGACATCATCATTTCGTGGAAATCTGAACCAAACTTTAAACAATTTGTTGATACGATGAACGACAATCCTTACGGTCTGTTGATTGAAATAGAGCAACACAACAACTCAAATGTCCATTTTTTGGATATCGACATACTGGAAGGACCGAAACATTTGGATTGAAACATTCTCTCCTTTGAAGGACCGAACATACACACTGTGGTATATCGAAAAACTAGTAACACTTCCACGTATATTCCGATAGGATCCTGCGATCCTTTTCAGTACAATGTAGCAGCCTTCAGGAGCTTTGGTCAAGAGGGCTTTTACACACTCCTCCTCTCTCCAGGCACCGACTCAAGAGATGAGACACATAGAGGGGATAGCAGTGGCCCACGGCTACATTAACCTCGTACGGGAATTATATAAACGATACAGAAGTTGCCAGGAAGCAGACAACAACCGGACACAAAGACAAATAAAGATTCAAGAAGAAAATATAGAAAGGATCCCCATCACATTTAATCCACATTTAAATCGTTATATAACGAGATAGCCAAGAGTCGTCAGGTCAATATAACCTACAGAAGATGCCAAACCATTTTCCAAATACTACGTAACGGAAAAGACCCCCCGAACCCAGTCAGACTACCTGGAATTTATACCATCCCGCTCAGAGACCACAGGTTTGACAGAGAAATGGTCTACATTGGCTCAACCAGTACTGTACATTGGGGATTAGGATTAAAGAACATAAGGCTGACATACAGCACAACAAAACTACAACGGCTCTTTCAACATATGCGACCGATCAAAAGGACATCACGGCGGACTTTGACGCGGCACGTATTATCCTCACTACCACCCACCCCGAACATCTCAAATGGTTGGAAGCTATGGAGATATTTAGAGCAGGACGCAACACAACATGCATCAATTTTAAAGAAGAGATAGCCCTTTGAACAGTATCGCAGATCCTGCTAGATGATAGTATTTAAAAGTTTACGTCGAAAGTACTACAGTACGCATGCGCTGTACACAAAACATCGCTTTTTTGTTTTTAAATCGGCTCGAAGGTTGCCGCGTGCGATGATTGGAACGATAAACGGCTCAAAAGAAACTATTCGATTCTCAACGTCCGGCTTAGTATTTATAGAAAAGCCCGAGGAACAGCCCAGAATGGGCATCGAAAACGTTTGCTGCCATATAACACAATCACTCCGGTTACAAGGTCAAAAGTAAGAGTTTTATTTTTATTACATTCCGGTGTGTGGAGACGAATAAGTAAAGTCAATTAACGATGAAAATAGGATTTTTTACACATTTAAAGGTTAAAATTCTAAATTTTCAATGATTTTTTTTTATATTAAGAATTTACGTGAAACTAAATTATATTAACAGCAGTGTTACTGTAGATAAAGTACAGTATAAAAATCCTCAATACTTTTTGATTTAAAAGGCATTTATTTCGAACCAAAGTAGCCACTTAATTTAGCAATTCTTTCGAATGACAAAAATGCATCATCAATGTCATCCGTGCTACGAATGCAATAACAAATATTTTCCTCTTATCATTGTCACTAGAAATCTACCATTGACTGTAACTTGTGTAAATAAAATTCCAAGATATTCGCAGTCTTTAGAGTAATTTTATAATTTATTATTAATATTTTATTTTTTCATCTTAAATTAATTAAAGTAAAAAGAGTTCTAAAATAAAATAAAACATTGCTTGAAATTAAGTTGGCGGAGTTTGGGCGAATTGTGAAAATGTTTGACTGTCGTACGGCTACTTTTGACTGCTTCGTTGGCGGGAAATGATAGCATGTAATTTCGTGGATGTATTGTCGTAACGGAATTCGTGGCTAGCGATTCTGTATTGTAATATGTATCACATATATCGTGGCTAGCGATTCTGAATGTAATTGTGATATTAAAAATGCATTTAGAGAAGTCTACGGTTTTTACTGGCTTATCGAATAAACGATACGAATGGACCCTAGACCATCACTGACGCGCGATTGACTGATTGCCCCTGGATGTGGGCTTCTTACAGAAACACAGCGTCCCTATCATCAAATGTCACGGCACGCCACTGCCTAATATGTATTCGAGTACCTGAAAACAATAGATTTTTTAACATGTAATAACAGGTATGTGTAACCTGTCATAACACAATGTTTTTATTTTGTGTTACCTAATCAAAATGATTTATATTATATTATATTATACAGGGTACAATTTATTTTCCTCTTCAAATCGCCATCAAAAAAGTTGAAAACACTGCTATGTTTCCTATGAAATACTTTGTTCCTGGCTTTTTAATTTTTGTTTTATACTTCTGTAATGGTAACATACTTTATTTTGAGAGTACATATGAGTCTATTAAAGAAATAAATTGAAAATGCTATTAATGGGAAAGATGCATGTGGCATACGAGTCAAAGTTGATATGATTTCAATACTTTGCCGTGCTATATACGCAAGAAGCCGGGAAAGTAAGATGGACGACTGGTTCCAGTTACCTACAAACAAATAAAAATAAACGGTTAAACCAGTTAATACTAGGGTTCCTAATTTTTTTCGTGTATTGTCCCATTTTAAAAAAGTATTTTTTTTTTGTCGACCCATTCAATATTATGTAGTACTATACATGATTAGTGACTTTTGATGGTGGAGTATGTTATTGTTATTATTATTATCTCTCAACAATATCCCCATGTGTTGTTTGAAAAAAGTATTTTTTTTAGCCATTCCTGCAAACTTTCATAGACCCCTAAAGGGTCAATACCGACCCCGTCGGGAAACCCTAAGTTAATATAATAGAATGTATTTAACAAAATATTTCAATTTTAGAATTAATAAATCACAGGAGAAACAATTGCAAATTACTTATCAGCAATTTATAATAAATTTAAATTCGATTTTGTGCTCGAATTTTTCAACGAAACACCAAAGCACTTTGGGCTTTCAACAACAAACAGCACAAGAAAACTGCCCAGCAGCGGCAGAATGGATAAAATGGAACAAGCAGCTCTTCGCTTGCCGTTCGTCTTTCCTGATGAACAACAACCCAGAACTCACCACGTAGAAGTGGCTGCTTCAGAGTTCCACCAAGAGTTGGAAAGAATTCTACACCACAAGTGACCAACATCACTTGTCGAGTCGAGTTCTTCCTAACTCGCACAATGAAATTATTTATACTGTAATTACTTCTGAATACTCAAAATTCAGCTATTCGAAACTTATCTTATTATTAGTATCTAAACTAAGGGATGCAATATTACAACAACTAGTAATAAAGAAAATCTATAAATACACCTGGTCATAATAAAACGTACGTTAGGGCCACAAAATTTAGTTCAATCTCATACCGACCCTCATTAACCAAAAAAAAAAAAATACTCGTCCTGCGCGGAATTTAATACAGCGATAGACAGAAAACCCGCTCCAACCTCGGTCGGCCCCTTCACTCGAGCGGGCGTTGAAGAAACGGGACAGAGAGAGCCCTGTATGCTTCACCGTCTTTTGTCTTTACCCGCGCTAGCCTTAAAGATGCCTTCTCCGCATTTCGTCGGATCTCCTGTCTTCGTCTGACCGGGCCTTAAAGATGCAGGACACAATGACAAAGAGTTAACAATGCACTTACAATAGCCACTTACAATGCAAAAAGCCAACAATACATTTTAACAATTCGTTACCTATTGTTAGAATATATTGTAACGTATTATGATCCCGTCATATTTTTACGTCACATGTTATGTAAAACAATCGGTTTGAAATATTTCAGAAAGGATTATTTTATTAAAATAATATTCATTAGAAACAGGATTACCTTAAGTTTTTTAAGTTAAAATAACGCTTTTTTTCCTAATAAATAAAATATTTAAAATGTCGAATCATACATTTATTCTAATGTTATCCTGTTATCCGTATTTTTGAAAATTCAGAGGAATTAGTAATGATTATGGCTTTTTGCACTCCAGGTAATGCGAACATAATGTCTTAATTCACAAATTTCAAAAATTTTCGACGAAAGGTGCTTAAGCTTCAAAGTGGGTAAACAAATTCGTGCCCCTCACACACAGTAACATCCATACATACAGAAAGAATCCCAGTCGTTTTGTATTTCTCGACGTTTCAAGGTCCCGAGCCCAAAAATTTAAAGATATTGGGTGAATCATTTTTTTACCGATCGCCACACTTTTAATCTGTTATATATAACAGAGCCGAGAAAGTAAAAAAACAAGTTTAATTTTGTGAGAACCCGGACTTTTACAAAAATCTTTTTTCGATTTCATCATACATATTTTGACAACTAACATTATTGTTCATCCTTTACTAAATGAGATCTTTGTCAGTTTGCACGCTGTCAGTGGCGACCGCAACGCTTTTCCGTGATACTTTGACTTCCTGGCCATGCTCTACCATTAATATCGGAAGTGATGGCCCAACGAAGCAGTCGCTGCCCATCCCAATGAAGCAGTCGCGCAGAACATGAGGTTGTACCGTACAATAGGCAAACAGACATATATACAGTATTTACAAAGGCTCTCTTGGCCAAAGAACATAGGTTTAAATTAAGTTAATTTGTAGATGGAAAGATGTGTTTGTTACATAATATTCTTGATTTGTATAAACCTGTTACAAGGCAGTGGTTATCTTCTGTCAAAGTTCGTGAGAATTTCCACTTTTTGAAAAAATTGTTGCAGTTTCTTAAAGATGGTTTCATCCTTCACTAGGTTCGATATCTGTCACGCCCAGTTAAATCCCTGAGTTAGTACCGCATCGATGAGGTTTTGTCTTTNCAATACATTTTAACAATTCGTTACCTATTGTTAGAATATATTGTAACGTATTATGATCCCGTCATATTTTTACGTCACATGTTATGTAAAACAATCGGTTTGAAATATTTCAGAAAGGATTATTTTATTAAAATAATATTCATTAGAAACAGGATTACCTTAAGTTTTTTAAGTTAAAATAACGCTTTTTTTCCTAATAAATAAAATATTTAAAATGTCGAATCATACATTTATTCTAATGTTATCCTGTTATCCGTATTTTTGAAAATTCAGAGGAATTAGTAATGATTATGGCTTTTTGCACTCCAGGTAATGCGAACATAATGTCTTAATTCACAAATTTCAAAAATTTTCGACGAAAGGTGCTTAAGCTTCAAAGTGGGTAAACAAATTCGTGCCCCTCACACACAGTAACATCCATACATACAGAAAGAATCCCAGTCGTTTTGTATTTCTCGACGTTTCAAGGTCCCGAGCCCAAAAATTTAAAGATATTGGGTGAATCATTTTTTTACCGATCGCCACACTTTTAATCTGTTATATATAACAGAGCCAAGAAAGTAAAAAAACAAGTTTAATTTTGTGAGAACCCGGACTTTTACAAAAATCTTTTTTCGATTTCATCATACATATTTTGACAACTAACATTATTGTTCATCCTTTACTAAATGAGATCTTTGTCAGTTTGCACGCTGTCAGTGGCGACCGCAACGCTTTTCCGTGATACTTTGACTTCCTGGCCATGCTCTACCGTTAATATCGGAACTGATGGCCCAACGAAGCAGTCGCTGCCCATCCCAATGAAGCAGTCGCGCAGAACATGAGGTTGTACCGTACAATAGGCAAACAGACATATATACAGTATTTACAAAGGCTCTCTTGGCCAAAGAACATAGGTTTAAATTAAGTTAATTTGTAGATGGAAAGATGTGTTTGTTACATAATATTCTTGATTTGTATAAACCTGTTACAAGGCAGTGGTTATCTTCTGTCAAAGTTCGTGAGAATTTCCACTTTTTGAAAAAATTGTTGCAGTTTCTTAAAGATGGTTTCATCCTTCACTAGGTTCGATATCTGTCACGCCCAGTTAAATCCCTGAGTTATTACCGCATCGATGAGGTTTTGTCTTTTTCTGTCAAACTGCTACAGTCAAAAATCAGGTGTAGATGTCCTGGCGAGTGATTCCGTCTCATGGATATGTGTTGTTGTTTCTAATTATAAAACAGTGGAGGTACACGTGAAAGTTACCATGCACTGTCAGAGTTTGGGTAATTGTAAAGCTTGTAAAGCCTCCACTTTAGACGTTCTTTGATGTCTGGAATAAAACCAAATGTGGTCCTTCCGGTATGGCTCTTCTCCCAGTCATCCTGCCACTATGCATGAGTAATGTCTCAGATCCATTCTCTAATCTTAGATTTTCGTACATTGGTGTAGAACGGACCAAGAGAAGATTTAGCAGCTTTCTTTGCTAAATTGTCTACTAGTTCATTCCCTGGCACAACCGAGTTGCCACAAACCTATCTAAAGGCTACTTCATGGTTATATAAGTGTTCTCCATTAACATTTTCTTGATCTTGGCTTACGTGAAGTGATATAGAGAATATTAATATGTATGACGTTAAGTGGTCATTGTCAACTTAAACGTGTCTTATTTGTCGCTTAGAAAATTGTAAAAATGTAGAGGTGTCCTTTAACGGCAGTTTCACTGTACGTACTTTTTTTATTTCTATTTTTTAAAAATAAAAAAACACCTGAATTCGTAAAATTTTGAGTAATTTATTATTTGTAAATTTAAACGATTCTAATATAGTAGTTACTTTAAAATGAATTAATTAAGTTAAAGAATTTTATAGTGGAAACAGCAGTGAGTTATAAACTGTTATATTAAATATTTTTATAACATTAATAATAATAGTTTAATGTTGTAGAAAATAGTTTAATAGTTTAGAAATAGGTGCCACACGTCATTAAAAGTCAATCTTTCGACACATTTCCTGAATATTTAAGCGAGCGATAAAAAAGGCGAAATAGTGCCATCAGCACATTTCTGAAATAAAATTCTGTTACCAGAAACGATGGGACCAGCCACGCTGAAGGATTATTGTTGGACTATCAAACGACAAGGCAACAGTAAATATAAGGGAATCCGTTTAATGGAACCGTATATTAATTCGACAAATTTGCCTGCTTACTACCAACTAAATCTTGCTGACAAAACATTTTCATGGTTATCACGAATTCAGTACACTGAATAATTTTGCTCCAGAGGTGAGAAAACGTTTTAACAAATCTAAAAATGTGAAAATTTAATATTTACTTTTATAAATATCGAACCTTTAATTAAAAATTAAATTTCATAATAAACTTTATTAAATATAAAAGTTTATATACACTTTAGACAATTCCATTTACAAATTTAATTGTTGAATTAATTATAATTCTGATCTGGACGTATACCGACGAATTCTAATATCTATATTTTTCTGTAAAGTATCTTACAACAGTAAAAAATGGCCTCAAAGCGTAAACACCGACTCTACTGAGTGTTAGAAAGCTGATTTGTGTACTGATGT